AGGAGTTGGAGGTTGCTGTGAGCGTGATGCCACGGCACTCTACCCAGGGTGACAGCTTGAGGCTCCGTCTCAAAAAAAAAAAAAAAAAAAAAAAAGAAATAAAATAACTCAGACCAGGAAAAGTTATGCCACTACAACTTTATCCCAGAAGTTTATATGACTGAAAGGGTATTTGGAGCTCTGTGCCTTAGTCCACCTGTCTGTGTATTGGGGGTAATTTTCTAGTTTCATGATGGCCAGAAGGGAATTCTGGCCCCTGCTTGGAAGCCTCTAACCCACTCCTCTAGCCACGCCTCCTGCTTTCTGATTTGTAGCTCATGACACATCCTCGCCCTTTTCCTGGCACCAGAATTTATACATGACCACACCCTTTTCTTCTGAAGGCCAATTGGTTGTTCATGTGCCAATCCTGCCCCTGCCTTAAACTCAGCCCCCCTCTCTGTGGGGCACTGATAGGTTGCTCCAAATTAGCTCTGGCCTTCCTACTGAAATTCCATTGATTTACCTTTGGCCCCCCCCCCACGAAGTAGGCTGGACTTAACCCTTTCATCTCTAACCCTCCCCCTGCAGTGCAGTTTGACAGTCCCGAGTGGGAAAGGACCTCAGCCTCAGCCAAGGAGCTTCGGAGACCCCCACCCAGGAGCTCCCAACCCGCAGAGCGTGTGGACCCGACCCTGCCCCTGGAGAAACAACCGTGAGTGGGGAAGCTGAAGGTGGAAAAGCCCCTTGAATCTCTCCATCTGTAGACTCCAAATTATCAGGGAAACGTTTTTTCTTTTCCCTCCCAGGACTAGAGGAACTGGAAGACTTTGATTCATTCATTCACTTCATTCATATCTTCAACTAATCTTTACTGGGTTCCAGCACCTGCTGTGTGCCACATACTAGGCTAGACACAAAGCAGTCAGATGGGGTTCCTTTCCCGCTGTTATCTGGTTCAAAATCTTGCCCTATCCTTGAGGTACTGGGTCCAGCCCAGTCATTGGGAATGACTGTGAACAATCCAGAACTATTTTAACACTAAAACACAGGATGCAACATTTATTTTATTTTCAGTTTTATTTCAATACGAACAACAACAAAATCTCTGGTGTGCCTTTGTCATTGACACTTTGCTGGCAAGTGCTCACCTCTCTTTGAGCAGATTAAAGAAAATATTAAAGAATGGTACATATAAGGCAGCGCCTGTGGCTCAAGGAGTAGGACACCGGCCCCATGTACTGGGGTTCACCGGTGCGCGTTCAAGTCTGGCCCCGGCCAAAACTGCAAAAAGAAAAAAAAAAAAGAATGGTACATACATGGCCACCAGGCCTGATGGCTTATGCCTGTAATCCCAGAACTCTGAGAAGCTGAGAGGTGTGGATTGCTTGAACTCAGGAGTTTGAGACCAGCCTGAGCAAGGGTAACAGCTCATCTGTACTAAAAATAGAAAAACTAGTTGGGCGTAGTGGCAGGCTCCTGTAGTCCCAGCTACTCAGGAAGCTGAGGGAGAAGGATCACTTGAGCCCAGGAATTTGAGGTTGCTGTGAACTAGCCTGGAGCAACAGAAAAAGAAAAGAAAAAAAGAATGGTACGGGTGGGTGGGGATTTAGGCTGTAACATAATTAAAGAAAGTGACTGTGGTTGAGGGAGTAGGGAGGGGTGCTGATAACACTTGGGAATACAGCTAGGTAGGTTGTAAACATCAAGTTCAGGTGTATGTGATGAATTGGAGGGAACAGCTCCCTCTTTGACCTGGGCTCAGCTGTCCCTCCTTCCCCCAGACAACCATGTCTGCTGGGAAACCAGGCTCCTTTTGAAAAATCCAATGGAATTTCCCTGGCGTGTTGGCCTGGACGTCACAAGCTCTTTCTTGTACTGGCTGTGCATGGACCTGAAAGACCCCAGGATATGTTTGAAGGGAATGGCCTTTCGTGAGATGTGTGCCCCCACTTATCCACTAGGTGGTTTCACGGCCTGCTGAACCGGGCAGATGCTGAGAACCTTCTATCGCTCTGCAAGGAAGGCAGCTATCTCGTGCGGCTGAGTGAGACCAGTCCCCAAGACTGCTCCCTGTCCCTGAGGTGAGACCCCAGCCTCACAGGAACAGAGGGTCCCTGACTGCATGCATCTTACTTTCGGGTTAATTCAGTGGGAACAGAGAGGCGTGGCTCCCGGAACCATGGGCAGGGCTTTGGGTATGGTGGGTGGGGCTTCCAAGACCGGGGCGGGGCCTCCAGGGAGGCCCCTAGGAAAGAGCTCCATGTCATCAGAGGCACACAAGAAGATGGAATGGAAGCCATACCGGAGATCCAGGACTGCAGTAAGACAGGAAACTAGGTGTTCAAGGTTCCAAAAGTTAAAGAATGTCCATTCATGTCTGTCTGAAGCTAGAATCTCATAAGATCCTTTTTGTTTTGTTTTGTTTTGTTGTTTTGAGACAGTCTCAAGCTGTCACCCCGGGTAGAGTGCTGTGGCGTCACAGCTCACAGCAACCTCAAACTCTTGGTCTTAAGCGATTCTCTTGTTTCAGCCTCCCAAGTAGCTAGGACTACAGGCACCCGCCACAACGCCTGGCTATTTTGTTGTTGTTGTTGCAGTTGTCATTGTTTTAGCTGGCCCGGGCTGGGTTTGCCAGCCTCAGTGTATGTGGCTGGCGCCCTACTCAAGACCCTGTTTTTATGTGCTTCTGTCCCTACGATTCTATGTGTATCTAATGATAAACTGCTGCTAAGATTCTACTATGTGTCTGCATGATCTAAAACAGGCGTCCTCAAACTACAGCCCGCGGGTCATATGCAGCCCGCCTAGGACATTTATCCAGCCCACTGGGTGTTTTTGCAGCTGCTGCCTGTCCTCCTTAGCAGCCGACTTGTCCCAGGGCCCGCAGTCCGGCCCTCCAGCGGTCTGAGGGACAGTGAACTGGCCCCCTGTTTAAAAATTTGAGGACCCCTAATCTAAAAAAACAAGTGTAGAAGAGGGCTTTGGAGACAGGTTCAAATCCTGACTCCATCACTCTCTAAGTGTGTGACCTTGGCTAAGTTACTCAACCTCTTTGGGCCTCCCTTCCCTTATCTATAAAATGAGGATAATAATAACATCCATTTCCTGTTGGTAGTACAATGATTAAATGATAACAATAGGTGAAAAAAGTGTTGAAAACAATGCCTGGGAAACAGGAAATGCTTAATTAATGTTAATAATGATGATAAAATGATCCCAATGCTCTAGGTCATTCTGTCCACCAGAGATGGAGCTAAAGGGACAGAGGTTGACTAGTAGAGGCCCAGGAAAGGTAATACAAGCAATCAGAAAGTTTGAAGAGAAAGTGGAGTGAGTCTGGGGGTTGCTGGAGTGACTCAAGAGAGGCCCTGGAGGTGCCTAGCCACTATGGTCTGTCTTTTCATTGAATAAACACTAATTAATTCCCTACTGTGTTCCAACCCCATTCTAGGTGCTCTGGCAGTGACAGAGAGAAAGATAATCTCAGATAGAAAGAAGGGTTCAGACCTAACTGAGACAGTGGAAACTCATTGTGAGTAGGAGTCAGGGGAGGATTCAGGAATCAGGGTCCCCTCCTGATTGCAGTAGAATTTCAGGTCAGTCCTATGTCATGAACTAAGAACTAAGCTTTAGAGAGGTGGCACCTGATCCTTCTACATCCTGCAGAGAAGCATGCAATCCCATCCCTGTTCTAAGAAAGGAAGTTCTGCTCTAGCCAACCTTCCTGGTAGACAGACTTGGGAAGGTACTCCTGCCAGGGGGCAATAAGACAACAGGTTGGCACCAGTGCACTATTTATCAGAGATGTTGAGGGGGATGCCCACATCTGACCCTGGGTGACAGAGTGCATGGGTGGATCTGCAGTGCTCAGTGCTCCCTTTGACTTCTCTCCCCCAGGAGCAGTCAGGGCTTCCTGCATCTGAAGTTCATGTGGACCAGAGAGAACCAGGTGGTGCTAGGCCAGCACAGTGGGCCCTTTGCCAGTGTGCCTGAGCTGGTCCTACATTACAGCTCTCGCCCACTGCCAGTGCAGGGTGCTGAACACTTGGCCCTGCTATACCCAGTCATTGTGCAGACCCCCGATGGGTACCCTCTGCCAACTTCTGGGCTCTAAGCCTCAGAATCATGTCTCAAAACCCTCTTGAAAAATAAATAAATTATTGTCTGTTTCAAGTGTCCTTTCTGGGTGAGCCCTTGCCCCTGCTACCTGTGTCTCCATCTGTGAAATGGCCACCGTAGGGCACGGGAAGGGGGGCATCCTTAGAGGAATGATGGGGCAAGTGAGAACCTTAGAGGGGTAAGGGTAACCCCAGTTCTTTATTTTAGGGATAAAGATTGGAGCCTGAATCTCACATAGGGAGGGACCAAAACTCCAAGAACCAGAGACAGTGAGCCATAGAGACTAATAAAAACCCACAGACAGCAAACACCCACAGATATAAAGATGTAGATACTGAGTGGGTGCGGAGGTGCTCAGGCCAGCCCCGCTTTGCTTGATCTGCAGAAAAGACATCTGTCTCCATGGAAACAGCAGACGTGGGGGAGGGGAGGCTGGCCCAGCTGGTGTCACTTCAAGGTAAAAGTCAGGCAGCAGACCCCAGGGGCTGGTAAATACCAGGGAGCCCCAACTTCCTCCCTCCTCCTTCACTCCCAGATGCCAGCTGGGGCGGGGAGCATCCAGCAGGGACATTGCTTGGAGGCCAGGGGCATCACTTTTCTGCTCCTTGAACAAGTCCCTCCTAGAACAAGGCAGGGAGTGGGGGAGTTGTCAGAGCCCCCTCACCACAGTGGGCCTCTCCAGTGGGCTCTGAGATTCCCAGATGACCACTCAAATCTCTTTAGCACCCCCAAATTGCCACAAATTCCAGGTCTGCTTTCTTCATGAGTGAGTCTTTATTGAATGCTGGGGGAGGGGAAAAAGGCTCCTTCCTCATAGAAATGAGGCTGGGGTATCAGGATGGGACTGTTGTCCTCCCTTGGAAGCAGTTACTATCTTCACATAGTCACAGGTGGTGGTGTCCCCTTTGGGTTCTCCGGGGTCTCTGACTCCTCTTCTTTCAGGGAGTCCTCTTGGCCTTGGCTGCCCAGCAGGGCTCAGGCCAGGAGAGACACTGACCATGGAGACATAGTGACTGGGTTGGGGGCTGAGGCAAGGTTTGGCGGCCAGACATGGCTGGTGGGAGACAGGCTGTGGAAAAGAGATTGAATAGATGCTCTGGCCTTTCTGGTGCCCTCCGGGGGTGTCCAGCACCTTCCCATTTCCATGCCAGTCCTCATTCTTCTTTGGGGCCCCACGAGGCCGATGTAGTACATTGCTGTACAACGGGTTTCCTAGGAAGAGTGGAGAACGGTCATTTGAGAAATCCCGTTCCTCTCCGACCCACCCCTGGGCCCTTTGGCTATATTTCTTCAAAAAGATGGTATAAGGGCCAGCCTTCTCCATCCCCCTGAAGCCCACCTTCTGTCTTTTCCCAAGACCAGATGGGGATGCGGTGGGGGCGGAGGGGGGGGGGCGGCGGCAGAGGTGGCTGTCCATCACTAACAACCTGCTGCAGTTTCTGTATCCGCCACGAGAGGTCGCCCGCGGGAAAGCCCCACCGACCTCAGCGCGCTTACCTAGGTGGTCGCCTGAGTTTTTTCTCCAGCGCCGGCGGCAGCTCCAGACCCCGGCTCCCAGCACGACTGCGGCCACGGCCACGGCCCCCACCATCAGCAGCAAAAAGAGCAGTCCTGGGGTGGAGGTGGGGGAGAACACGGTGTCAGGGGGAGGGATGCACAAAGTGCGGGGTGAGGATGGGTGTCCTGAGGGAGGGATACGCGAGTAGGACTCACCTGGGAGGCTGGAGGTAGGATTCCTGTCCAGCGTAGGGTCATCTGCGTAGGAGAAATCTTTGTCAAGTCCAGTCTTCCGCACCCTCCAAGATTAGAGCATCCTCTCACCCGGTATGGGATCTTGTTCGCCTAGCCTGCGTGACTTCAGACAGGTGTTCACTCTGAATCTAAGTTACCTCTTATGAAAAATGGGGCTCACTATTCGTATCTTATTGGGTTACTGTGGAATAACTGTGTACTGGCTTTTGGGGTTGATTTAGAGATGGGGTCTCACACTATTGCCCAGTCTGGAGTGTGGTTGTGTGATCATGGTTCACTGCAGCAACTACCTAACTAGGCTCAAGTGATCTTGCCAAGCAGCTGGGCCTATAGCCATGTGCCACCACTCCCAGCTATTTTCTTTTCTACTATCCTTTCCTTTTTTTTTTTTTTGCAGTTTTGGCCGGGGCTGGGTTTGAATCCGCCACTTCCGGCATATAGGGCCAGAGCCTTACTCCTTTGAGCCACAGGCGCCGCCCACCTTCCTTCTTTTCTTTCCCTTTCCCTTTCTCTTTTCTTTTCTTTTTTTCTTTCCTTCCTTCCCTCTCCCGTCCCCTTCCCTTCCCTTCTTTTCTTTCTTTCTTTCTTTTTTTTTTTTTATTGAATGGTAACTATGTACATTAATGCACTTCTGGGGTACAGTATGGGGTTTTCACATGCAATCTGAAATACTTCCATCAAACTGCTCAACACAGCCTTCATGTCATTTTCTCAGTTATTGCTTTAAAACGTTCACATTCTACTCTTAGACAGATTCACCTGTACCCTTATAAGGTAAACCTTTTCTCTCTTTCTTGATGGGGTTCTTGTTATGTTGCCCAGCTGGTCTTGAACTCCTGGCATCAACTGATTCTCCTGCCTAAGCCTTCCAGAGTTCTGGGATTATAAGCACCTGGCCATGTCTTCTGTTTATTGGTTTATTGAGCGCCTCTAGTCTGTACCAAACCCATTTTTTCAGGTAGGGGAACTGAGGCTCAGACAGTGTTAACTCACTTGCTTGGGGTCCCACACCCAGGAGGCAGCAGGGATGAGATTTTTTTTTTTTTTTTTTTTTTAAGACAGAGTCTCACTCAGTTGCCCTGGGGTTGAGTGTCATGGTAATCCTCTTGTCTCAGTCTCCTGAGGAGCTGAGCCTACAGGTGGCTGCCATAACACCTGGCTATTTTAGAGATGGGGTCTCACCCTTGCTCAAGTTGGTCTCAAACTCCTGAGTTCAAGCAATCCCCCTGCCTCGGCCTCCCAGAGTGATAGGATTACAGGTGTGATTTTTGAACAAAGGCCTTGCTCACTTCAGCCTCCCCTCCCACTCTGTTTTATTACTTTATTTTACTTTTTTTGAGACAGAGTCTCACTCTGTCACCCTGGGTAGAGTGCTATGGCATCATCATAAATCACAGTAACCTCAAACTCTTGGGCCTCAGCAATCTTCTTGGCTCAGTCTCCTGAGTAGCTGGGACTACAGGCACCAGCCACATGCCTGGCTAATTTTTGTATTTTCAGATGAAGTCTCACTCTTGCTCAGGCTGGTCTCAAACTCCTAAGATAAAGCAATCCACCTGCCTTAGCCTCCCAGAGTGCTAGGATTATAGGCATGAGCCACTGCACTGGGCCTTGTTTCCTATTTTAAAAAACAGCAAGATGGCGCCCATAGTTCAGTGGCTAGGGCACTGGCCACATACACCGAGGCTGGTGGGTTTGAATTCGGCCTGGGCCAGCTAAAAATTAAACAACAATGACAACTGTAACAATAGGAAAGAAATAGCCAGGTGTTGTGGCAGTCGCCTGTAGTCCCAGCTACTTGGGAGGCTGAGGCAAGAGAATCACTTAAGCCCAAGGGTTGGACATTGCAGTGAGCTGTGACACCATGGCACTCTACCCAGGGCAACAGCTTGAGACTCTGTCTCAAAAAAGAACAGAAAAGAAAAAAGTATGCTTCCATGAGGCTGAATATTTGTGTCTTTTTTTTGAGACACAGTCTCACTTTCTCACCTTTAGTAGAGTGCTATGACATCACAGCTCACAGCAAGTTCTTGGGCTCCAGAGATTCTCTTGCCTCAGCCTCCCACAAGTAGCTGGGACTACAGGCACCTGCCACAACACTCAGCTATTTTAGAAATGAGGTCTTGCTTTGACTCAGGCTGGTCTCGATTCTGGGAGCTTAGGCAATCCACCTGCCTTGGCCAACCAGAGTGCTAGGACTACAGGTGTTAGCCACCTCACCTGACCTGAACATTTGTGTCTTGCTGAATAATCAGCATCATAGACATAGAACAACTCATGTATATTGAACACTTACTACATCCTAGGCCCTGTACTAAGCACTTTAGATATAACCACCCTGTTGTGGGTTTCTTTTTGTTGTTTTTTGAAAAGAGAGTCTCCCTCTGTTACCCCAGGCCTGAATGCTCACAGCAAACTCAAACTCCTGGGGTCAAGTGATCCTCTTGCCTCAGCCTCCTAAGTATGTGGAACTACAGGCACCCATCACAATGCCTGGCTAATTTTTCAATTATTTTTTCTTTTGCAGTTTGTTTTTTTTTTTTGGCCAGGTTGGGTTTGAACCCACCACCTCAGGTATATGGGGCTGGTGCTCTACTCCTTGAGCCACAGGCACCGCCCTAACTTTTCAATTTTTATTAGAGATGGGGTTTTGCTCTTGTTCAGGCTGGTCTTGAACTCCTGAGCTCAAGTAATCCACCAGTCTTTGCCTCCCAGTGCTAGGATTATAGGTGTGAGCCACCATGCCTGGCCTTATTTTTCAATTTTTTAAAAAATAAACCTATCCTAGGCAAGCGCCTGTAGCTCAGTGGATAGGGCACCAGCCACATACACTGAGGCTGGCGGGTTCGAACTGGCCCAGGCCAGCTAAAACAACAATGACAACTGCAACAAGAACAACAGATAGCTGGGCATTGTGGTGGGCACCTGTAGTCCCGCTACTTGGGAGGCTGAGGCAAAAGAATTGCTTAAGCCCAAGAGTTTGACGTTGCTGTGAGCTGCAACACCACAACACTCTACCTCGGGCAACAGCTTGAGATTCTGTCTCAAAAAAACAAACAAACAAACAAAAAAAAACCTATCCTATGAATCCCCAACAATAAAAAAAAATAAACCTATCCTAGAAAGTATGCAGTTGTATCTCACTGTGGTTTGGGTTTGCTTTTTTTTTTTAGAGATAGAGTCTCACTTTGTCACCCTTAGTAGAGTGCCGTGGGATCACAGCTCACAGCAACCTCCAACTCCTGGGCTTAGGCAATTCTCTTGCCTCAGCCTTCTGAGCAGCTGGCCCCACCACAGGCGCCCACCACAACGCCGGGCTATATATTTTGTTGTTGTTGTTGCAGTTTGGCTGGGGCTGGGTTTGAACTGGCCACTCTCGGTATATGGGGCTGGCGCCCTACTCA